CAAATCTTTGCGTATTTTATTATAGTACCTGGTTTTATCTTTTCGAGCTGATATTTGAAATTTTCTGTTCAGCTCTTGGACCTCTTCAATTCTTCTATTTGCTTTAGCTTCTCTACGCTTGAATATATCCCACCTGAATTTAGAGATCATCTGAATAATAGATTTGATACATTAAACACATAAGACTGAAGTTGTGGGAAGTGATTAAGTAACTCAACAAATTGAATATTTAGATCTACTTTGATCATTTCCTTAAAGAAAGAAAAAGAGAAAAAGTTTCGAGTACATGAAAGAAAATGTTGGGATTCCAAATTTTAAATGACAGACAATCATAGATAGGGCATGTTATGTGAGTTTTTTCTTAACATGTACTTACAAATCCCAAAGAGCTGATGAGAGATAATATTTGCCCAGGAGTTCTTGAATAGTCTTGTCTAGGTTTAGCCATTGATGGTGTTGTAAGGATATCCATCATATTGATATCTACGTATGCAAAGAAAAGCATATTAAATTCTTTTCAAGCTAAGCCATCGTCAATTAAAGCAAGAATGACATGTTCTGAGCTTTACTCTTCTTTCCAGATTAGCAACTTAACTACAATTGGCTAGAATAAATATACCCAAGGAAGCTATCACATTTAAACAGATACAAAGGGACTTCAGAAAGTTCAAAGAAAAGTGGAATTAAAAGATAATGGGGTTTTCCCACAAACTTTTGGAAGTCCTTTTTGTATAACAAATCAACTGATTTAAATCATTAAAAAAGTTTCATAGGACAAAACCCTTGCTTTGAAATGAATAGAACACAGTGGGATGACCCAGATTCTTAGCTTTTCAGTAATATAAAAGTGAGCTTTGAAAAGTTCATGAAAAAATAGAACTAAAAGATAATGGAATTTTTCCATCAAATTCTTGAAATCCCTTTGTATATGATGAATTGTATGTTCATTTCTCTAACCCTTTGTTTATCAAGGGCTTGGAGGTGGTAAGATAAATCTGAGTAAGTCTTATAGCCATCAACCCTTTATCACATTATAGTTATTTTAGTCATTTTACTGATGTCTAATTGGTAAGAACACAATCAGTAGACCAGAAATTGTGAATTCTTCTCTAAAGATACAAAGATCTTTGAAAGCCCAATAATAATTCTTATTTTTCTTTTTAAATGGAAAAGTACAAATTATAATACCACTCTAAACTTGTTTCAGAGTCCTGGTGTGACACTGTGGGTTAATGTGCTGGACTGCAAAGTTGGTTTGAACTGCAAGGCCGGAGGTTCAAGCTCATCAGTAGCTCCTTGGAAACCCTATACAGGGTAGCTATGGGTCCGAACCGACCCAACAGCACTTAAACAACAACAGCCTTGTTGCGAATCCTGGTGTGGTGCTATAGAGTATGCACTGGACTGCTAATCAGAAGGTCAGCAGTTAAAACCACCAGCTGCTCCTCATAAACCTTTCAGAGGGTCACTGTGAGTGAGAACTGACTTAATAATACTTAACAAGAAAAAAAGCCTCATTTACGGGGAGTGTGGTGACTCTGTAGGATAAGTGTTCGATTACAAGCCACAAGGCTTTCTGCTCCAGGAAAGACTTCCAGTCTCGGAAACACTACATAGGGTTGCTATGTGTCGGAACTGACTTGACGACACTTATCAACAACAACAACCTATCTTGGGGCGTCCTGATGTGCTGTTGTAGGATAAAAACTAGACTGGTAACCACAAGGTTGGCAGGTCAAACCCACCAGCATCTCCTTAGAAACCCTATAGAGGGTCACTATGAGTTGGAACTTACTTGGCAGTACTTACCAATAGCAGCCTAGCTTAGAACACATAATGACCAAATTCCATACACTATTAACTAACAAAGAAAATAGTATAAGTTAATGAAATGCGTTCAAAATTGGTTGGATTTTAAAAAGGCTATTTTGCTTACCTCTATTCAAAGTAACTTTGGAAAGGCCAAAATCTGTAAGTTTAATATGACCCTCATTAGAAATGAGCATATTGTCTGGTTTTAAATCCCTGCACACAAAAAAGACAAATACGAGGTAATTAGCAAAGTGCTGGTGTTAATACGGAGTCCTAGTGTGGCGCTGTGGGATTAATGCGAATGGCTGCAACGCTGGTTTGAACAGCAGGGTTGGCTGTTCAAATTCACCAGCTGCTTCTCGGAAACCCTATATACAGGGTCGCCATGGGTCCAAACCAACTCAATGATACTTAACAACATCAACTGTTAATATTAAAATTACCAAGGCAGCAAGTTACAAGAAAAACACATTTATTTTCTCTAAAATAGGGCACTCAGGAGTGGTTTTGAAATGCACAGAAAACAAATCTCAAAGCAATGTATCTTTTGTATACCTGAAACTACTTTTTACAAAATGTTAACTGTTGAATTCCAGATGTTCTTCAGCTTTACTCATTAGTTATTTTGTTAAAATAAATAAATAGCATTAAAGTTCAAGTAAAGAAAAAAAAAAAAATTTCACATAAAGGAACATAACATAAGCCTTAATATAGCAGAACTCCTTAAACTTCCTTCACACAGAGCAAAACATGATGAATCTTCTAGGACGAAAAAATATAGCACTTTTAGATTACTGGAGAGGAGTGAAAAAGGATACAAACATATCATATTAAAATGCTATACTCATTTTAATCTTTAAACCTTAAACCAAAATTATGCCTTGAAGTCTTCTTAAAACCAAATAATAGTTTAGTTTAACTGGTAAAGAACATCTTCCTTGAGCACTGTGCTCTTTTACAAATTGTCTACATGATAACAAATTGATAACACCAACTTGAATGAATGAATAAAACACTGAAAAATACATTGAATAAATGACGAATCAGGCTACTAACTTCAAGGTCAGCTGTTTGAAACTACCAGCCATTCCACGGGAGAAATATAAGGCTTTCTGCTCTTGTAAAGATTTGCAGCCTCGGAAACCCTATGCGGTTTTCCGACTCCACATAACACCACCAGATGAATAAATGAAGAAAACGTTCACGCTGTCAAGGATTTCATATTATCTGAATCCACAAGATAGGAACCTTAGGGGCCTGAGTTCATGTTAAAGGGGGAGGACCCATTCAGAAAAGCAGTGTGAGAATGGCTACTCAACTCAAAGAATGTCACCAGGGTCACTGAACTGTCCAGGGATAAACCTGAATTGGTGTATGTTTTTGCTGTTTGTATTCTCAACAATAACAAAATAAAATCAACTACTAAAGAATAAAATGCTATACTCAAGAACAAATCTACATATTCAAAAAACATTGGGAGACAAAAGAAGAGCTGATGAAGTGCCTAAACTCATACTAGTACTTCATGTTAGATAATCTCAATATACAGATAAGTGCTTTTTGTAAGTAGCTGATCTTGAAATATGCTATGTTTATTTCATAAATATGAAATATACTTAAAAATTGAATTTCTAAGTGATAGTTTGGAGAAAAAGCAGTCATTACCTGTGGATGATCCCATGTCTATGAAGGTAATCTAGAGCCAATGCTACTTCAGAAATGTATTTCACAGCCATTTCTTCGTCAAAATACCCATATATGTGTAGGAGAGACTTAGCATCTCCACCGATAAGATATTCCATTATCTATCAAAAAGGAATATAAGTGTTAGACAATAAAAACAGTATGATTGCTTTAAAAACATATTATCTTAGCCTTATATATTTTTAGCATGGTTCTTTAACAAAGGTTTTCTTGGTAGCACTCAATACACATTGATACCACGTTTCCTCACATTGTCTTATTGTTGTTGTTAAGTCCCGTAGAGTTGGTTCTGACTCATAGCAACTCTGCAAAGGGTTGCTGAGGAGCGAATGGTGAGCTTGAACTGCTGACCTTGAAGTCCAGTGCATTAACCCATGATGCCACATCAAGACTCCCACATTGTCATGTAGGTGTATTGTTTTATTTTTAACTTAATTAAGCTGTTTAGTCTGAACAAAAAGTCTTCGTTACAGAAAAGTTGAAAAAATATTAGAATAATTCCCCATATACCTTTCCTTTAGATTCCTCATGAAAATTTTGCTACATTTGCTTTCTTCCTCTCCACATAAAATAAGTATAAAAATTGTATTTTTATTAACATATAGGTATCGTTTTTTTCTCCCAATTAATAATTTGAGAATAAGTTGAAAGATAATGACCTGTCACCAGTAAATTAATCTTGTATCTCCTTAAAGGACCTTCTTACATAACTACACTGAAATAAAATTCAGTAAATTTAACACCAATATAATGCTATCCTCTAGTCTACAGTCACGTTCAAATTTCACTGCACTTCATAGCATCTTTACCCACTTCCTATCACCACCCAAATCAGGAGCATGCATTGCATTTACTTGCCATATCTCTTTAAAACCCATTGTTGTTGAGTTGACTCTTACTTATAGTGCCCCCCTATGGTCTCAGAAGCTTTCCAAAGCTGTAATACTTACAGAAAAGTCTCACAACAGGACCAATAAGTAACATCATGATGAATGAAGAAAACACTGATGCTGTCAAGGATTTCACATTACTTGAAGCCACAAACAACACCCACTGAAGCATAAGTCAGGAAATCAAATGACATATTGCATTAGGTAAATCTGCTGTAAAATATCTCTCTAAAGTGTTCAAAAGCAAGATGTCACTTTGAGGATTAAAGAGTATCTTATCCAAGCCATGGTATTTTCTATTGCTTCATATGCATGTGAAAGCTGGACAATGAATAATGATGACCAAAGAAGAATCCATGCATTTGAATTATGGTGCTGACGAATATAGAAAGTAACATGGACTGCCAGAAAAACAAACAAATCTATCTTGGAAGTAGAGCCAGAAAGTTCCTTAGAATCTAGGACGTCGAGATTTTTGTCTCCCATACTTTGAGATATTATCAGGAGTGACCAGTGGAAGACATCATGCTTGGTTGGGAGCAACAATGGGCTCCAGAATGGTAGAGTTTCATTCTGTTGTACACAGAGCCACTACGTGTCGGAACCAACTTCATGTCACCTAATAATAACAATCTTTAATTGATTTGGAAATAACACTATAGAACTTTTATCTTTCTACAAAAACATGTATTTCCTCGTCTGTCCACTGAAATGGCCTCAAAGCAATGACAACCCACTGACTATGAGCTCCACTGATTAATACCCCTGAGATTATTGTCTCTAAACATTATTTGCCAATAAAAGGAATTAGACCCCTTGCCAAGGTCTGAGGAAGCATATTTATGAAATGACCCTTAGATAGCTTATCATGTCAGAAAGCAATAAAGCTATCAGGATACAGGCATACCCCAGAGACTGGCATGTTCAGTTCCAGATCAACACAATAAAGTAAATATTGCAATAAAGGAAGTCCCACAGATTGTTTAGTTTCCCAGTGCATATTAAAAGTTATGTTGTCATCTATCAAGTGTGCCATAGCATTATGAAAACATTAGAAATATTGTAACAATTATCAAAATATGACAGTGGAAAAAAATATGACAGTGACATGAAGCGAACACATGCTGTTGGAAAAATGGTGCTGCTAGACTTTTTCTACGTAGGGTTGTCACAACCTTCAATTTGTAAACAAACACAATAATCAGCAAAGCATAATAAAGCAATGTGCAGTGAGACGTGGTGTGCCTGTATTAACAACAAAAAACAAATCTGTTGCAGGAAAGTCAATGATGAAGCATAGCACACATTACAACAAATGTGTAGAACTGCCCTAGAGTTTCCAAGGCTGCAATAGTTATAGAAACGGATTGCCACATCTTTCTTCCATGCAGACGCTTCTGGGTTCAAACTGCTAACCTTTTGGTCAGCAGCCAAGAGCTTATCCACTGTGCTACCAGGGCTCCTTGTCAGAAGAGCAGGATAGTATAAAATCGGACACAGAAGCTAACTAAAAGGTGTTTCACTGATTAAAGAGGCAATAATTTAAGTATAAATTAAAATGAATGACTGCAGTAGGTTGCTGTTGTTGCTAAGTGTTGTCGAGTTGGTTCCGACCCATAGCGACCCTGTATAGGGTTTCCGAGGAGCAGCCGCTGAGATTGAACCACTGATTTTGCTTTGCAGTCTGACACATTAACCCACAGTGCCACAGTAGTAGTTGTTGTTATTAAGTGCCGTCAAGTCGATTCGGACCCATAGCGACCCTGTATAGGGTTTCCAAGGGGCAGCTGGTGAGCTTGAACCACCAACCTTGTAGTTCAAATGACTTTACAGTCTGATGCATTAGCCTACAGCACCACACCGGGACTCCACAGTAGTAGTTAAGACACCTCAAATCTGTGATGGCGTTGTTGTTAGGCACCGTTGAGTCAAATTTTGTTGTTTGAGATCCTGCCTGCAGCCAATGTGTCAATCCATCTTATTAGGGATCTTCCTCTTTTTTGCTAACTTTCTACTATACCAAGCATGAAGTCCTTCTCCAGGGACTGGTCCTTCCTGACAACAAATTCGAAATACGAGACACCAAGTTTTGCCATCCACACTTCTAAGGCGCATTCTGGCTGTACTTCTTCCAAGACAGATTTGTCTATGGTATTTTCATTTTTTAAAAACTTTTACTGTGAATTGAGTGAAGGTTTACAGAGCAGATCATTAGTTTCACATTCAACTAATCATACACCTAATTTTAATTGTTGTAATCTGCTCCATGCAACATCAGTTACCCCACTCCCTCTCTGTGACTCTTATTTCCATTCCACCCTGACTTAAAATATTTACTGATGAAGATCAAAGAGTACAGCCTTCAGTATGGATTGCATCTCAATATAAAGAAAACAAAAATCCTCACCACTGGACCAATAAACAACATTCTTACCAATGGAGAAAAGATTGAAGTTGTCAAAGACTTCATTCTTCTTGGACCAACTATTAACACTCACGGAAGCAGCAGTCAAGAAATCAAACGACGCATTGCATTAGGCAAATCTGCTAAAACCTTTATAAGTGTTGAAGAGCAGAGATGTCAGCTTGAAGACTAAGGTGCACCTGACCCATGCATGCCATGGTATTTTCAATAACTTCATATGCATGCAAAAGCTGGACAGTGAATAAGGAAGACTGTAGAAGAATTGATGCTTTTGAGTTATGGTGTTGGAGGAGAATATTGAAAGTGCCATGGGCTGCCAAAAGAACCAATAGATCGTTTTGGAAGACGTGCAGTCAGAGTGCTCCTTGGAGGCCAAGATAGCCAAACTTCGTCTCTCATACCTGGGACATACTGTCAGGAGTGACCAGTCACTGGAGAAGGATATCATGTTTGGTAAGGTGGAGGGTCAGAGAAAAAGAGGAAGACCCCCAGAGATGGATTGGCTAAGTGGCAGCATCAATGGTCTCAAGAGTGGCAACAATAGTGAGGTTGGCCCAGGATTGGGCAGTGTTTCGTTCTGCTGTGCATACGGTCGCTATGAATTGGTATCGACTCGATGACACCTAACAACAACAACTCCCTCCCAGTCTTGTTGAACTTTATCCTTAGGGAAACGCTGCTCCTTTGATCCTGAATGGCTGACCATTTCAAGTGAGTATCCTTACTAGTATTTTGTCCCTACCTCATACACCCATCCACAGAGTGACTGATAAGTGAGACACATGAGTAACTTCTGCTCCAGACCGAAAGGGATTCTGAAGGCCAGAGCCTCAGGTTCCTTCAGTCTCTTTCTGACCAGTAAGCACGATCTTTTCCAAAATTTTGACTTTTGTTATACATTTTCTTCCACTCTATTGAGGACCTTCTAATGTAATCCCTTTCAGAGCAGTTGGTAGTGGTAATTAGCCACCATGTAGTTTTTCTGGTTTCAGAGTCGTAGAGACTGATGTTCACATGTTCTATTAGTCCAGTGGACTAATTGATTCCAAGTGTCTTCCATTTTCAGCACTGTTCTTTCCTCCGCACAGGGAGAAACCAATAGATGCACCTTAACTTGCCCAATTATGAGCTTTAAGATCCAAGTTACTACTCACAAAAATAGGATATAGAAACTGACTTTGTGGACTATGTGTTACCAATTGGCCATGGTGTCCCCTGAGACCACGGCCAGCCCTGAGCCCCAGGTCCAGTAACGCATTCCCTCACGGTATGAATGCCAGAGCTGGATCTTGAGCTCAGGCACGCTGAAGCCAAGGACTATGCACTGGAATCACAGGGCTCATTGATCACTGAATGAAGGAAAAAGTAAAGACATCAACTCACCAAGTAGACATTACTGGCTGACTGCAGTGAATAGTATAAATGGACAACAAAAGGACTTTTGCTTAGCGCCAGTGCATCTCTCTCAGCTTGTACCTGATGAGTCATATTTTTGTTGATCATGTCTGCCTTTTTGACAACCTGTAATAAAGAACGTAACAACAGACCCTTTTGTTTATTCCTTACTACAAAACGTTCTCGGCTTTCAAAGCTAGTATCATAAAAACACCAAAAGAAAGAAACTATATTGATCAGATTGCCACCAGAAAACTCTGCTAGAAAAATAGCTAAGATGGTAAAAAGCTCTCTTCCAGATAGAACTGCCTACCTCAGCATTAAGCAGCAAAAAAATGTATCAAATCCTTTTTGAGAAAGAAGAACTGCACAATTGCTTCCTGACTGCCCTACATATGTTGGTAGTAGAAAATTCTGTTCTTCTTTTCTTATACCAAAGTAAGAAAAATATTAATGTTCCTAATAAGCCCCAAGATAACTGGAACCTAAGCACAAGCTACTTATTGCTTCTGATTCTTCCTAGATGGTTTTGTGGAATGAATTGTGTCCTCCAAGTTGTGCTGTCAATTTTAACTTCTATATCTGAGGTGCTATAGTTGCCTAAGCACTGGGTTGTTAACTGCAAAGTTAGTGATTCAAACTCACCAACTGATCAGCAGAAGAAAAATGAGGCTGTCTACTTCCAGAAAGATTTATAGTCAGAGACTCTACAGTTCTACTCTGTCCTATGGGGGTGGGGAGGCGCAAAGGGTTGAAACTGATTGGAGGATAGTGGGTCATGCTTGTCGCCCATTTGGGAATGAGTTATGTTATGTTAATGAGACGGGGTTGTATCTTGAGTTAATCTCTTTGGAGACATAAGAGACTGAACAAGCAAGCCAAAGAGAGACGGGGTAAGATAGATGGACTGTGCAGTTCAAACAACTTTGCAGTCTGACACATTAGCCCACAGCACCACACCAGGACACCCCTATAAAGATTGTTGTTGTTGTTGTTGGTAGGTACCGTGGAGTCGGTTCCGACTCATAGTGACCTTGACTGTAAATCTTTACAGGAGCAAAACGCCTCCTCTTTCTCCCACGGAACTGCTGGTAGTTTCGAACTGCTGACCTTGAGGTTGGCAGCCCATTAACAACCTTGAAAACCCTATACAGGTACCTATGAGTCAGAATTGAACCAATGGCAGTGGGTTTGGTTTGCTTTCTGTTTAGTAAGGGCCACAGTAGGAGACCTGGGTTGGATTTCTGGCCAATGCAGGTCAAGAACAGCCACCACCCATCTGCCAGTAGAGACTTGCATATATTGCAGGTTTCAGCGGCACTTTCAGACTAAGACAGACTAAGAAGAAAGGTATGGCAATCAGCTACCTAAAAGCAGCCAAAGAAAATCCTGTGGATCACAACAACACAATCCCATTTCGCATGGGGTTGTCATGAGTTGCAGCTGACTTGATTGCAACATACAACACACTAAATTTAGTAGAAGGAAAACCAAAAATCTTGGAAGCATATAAAGCAAGATGCAACTAAAAACAATGTGAAGGGCCTGAAAGATAGGGAAGGTTTGAAGAGTTGATAAGATAAACCTTAGTACACAAATAAGATAGGAGAAGAGCAGAAAAGGGTGGAAGAGTAACACTTAAGAAAAAGCATAAACATAACTTTGGCTTGCTGCCTATGTGCTGTTAGTTACAACTCACAGCGACCCAATATTGGTTTTTGAAGGCTGTTACACAATTTTTTGCTAGAACAGAAAATCTCATCTTTCTCCTGCTGAAGGCCACTGTGCTCCCCCAAACATAACCTTTGTTGTTGTTGTTTAGTCCTTTGAGTCGGTTCCAACTCAGCGACCATGTATAGGGTTTCTGAAGAACAGCAGGTGAGTTTTAACCACTAACCTTGTGGTTCAAACCTGGCATTCAGAGACCAGTCAACTGTCTGCTGTGCTAGGATATAGAATACATGTAAGAGTAAAGTCCTGGTGTGGCGCTGTGGGTTAATGCGTCAGACTGATGTTGTTTTAACTGCAACATCAATGGTTCAAGCTCACCAACTGCTCCTTGGGAACCCTATACAGGGTCGCTATGGGTTGGAATCGACTTGATGGCACACAACAACAACAAAGAGTAAAGTAGAAGTCTAGAACCTGAACTTGGAGCATGACTGCTTTTCTAAGAGTTTGGATTTTTCACACATGTCACTACCTACACGATAGATTAAAAAGATAAAGATAATGATTCCACTTAGGGGACGATTCCAGGAGACAAGGTATGAAAATAAAGGCCTAGAGAACGTCATGTTAAGTGAATGAAGAAAGATAAAAAAGTCCAAATATTATATGATATACTATTTATATGAAATGTTTAGGATAGGCAAACCTATGGAGTTTGAATTAGTCTTTGAGCATGTACAGCAAGAATTCTTAGAAGCAAGGATGGTGAGCATGGTGAGAATTTGTCTCGCTTACTATGGACATAGGAGTCCTGGTGTGGTGCTGTGGATTAATGAATTGGACTGCAAGGCCAGTCATTCAAGCTCACCAGCCGCTCCTTGGAAAGCCTGTAAAGGATCACTATGTGTCAAAACCAACTCAACGGCACTTTAACAACAACAGCAACTGTGGATATGGTGTCAAAATGTACCAATCACCTGAGGAGGATTATCATGCTTGGTAGAGCAGATGGTCAGCAAAAAAGAAGACCCTTGATGAGATGGATTGGCACAGTGGCTGCAGCAATGGATCAAAGACATTAAAGATTGTGAAGATGGTACAGGGCAGGGCAACATTTCATTCTGTTATATCTAAGGCTGCAGTCCTGTTGTGGCAATGTAGGATAAGGACTAGAATAATAATTGCAGTGCAAAGTCGAGGGTTCAAATCCACCAGCCGCTCCTTGGAAACCCTATATAGGGTTGCTATGAGTCAGAACTGACTCCAATAACAACACAGAGAAAGAAAGTATATTGCTGGCTATCTGGGGCTGGCTGTGGCAAGGACCAAGGCACTACAGATCAGTGGATCAGGGTGATGGAAATGTTTTAACTGCATTGTGTTGCTTACACAACTAGCTAATGAAAAATGAAAGTCTGTACTTGGGGAAGGAAAGAAAGAGGATAAAGGACTTATTTCTGCTTGTTGTTGTTAAGTGCCGTAGAATTGGTTCTGACTCAGCGACCATGTATGGGTTTAAGAGGAGCGGTTGGTGAGCTTGAACCTCGGACCTTGAGATTCAAATCGACTTTGCAGGGCACTGCATTAACCCACTGTGGTATTAGTTCAAGAGGTTATGTATAACAAAGCAAACAAACAAAAAAAAACAAAACCTCCAACTACTTTTAAAACTTTTTGGGTTTAGAAACTTGATTACAAGTTTGGGTAAGACTATGTATCAGTTTGGACTTGACTTTTGTCTTTGGTTGCAGTTTCCTCATTTGCTAATTTTGTTATTCTCATAAGTGACTCCTAAGCATCAGAGATGTGGAGAGAAGGGAGGGGCAGAGGCGAGACTCTAACTTGCCCCGCTGATGTCACTCCAAGCTCATAAGGTTCAGAAGACTTTGACAAGCCCCCCAACCCGATTAGTGTCTAGTCTGACCAAGACCAGGAGAAAGAAAGAGAGCTAAAGGGCCAGTCTCGTTTCCTTTACTCCTACCTTCACCGCATACAGCTTGCCGCCTTTCTTTCCCAGATACACTTTTCCGAAGGCGCCACGGCTAATGGGCTTCACGATGGTAAATTCCATAATGGAGGGCGGTCCTGGCACCCGGATCCGATTCACGCACTCCCGTGTCGCCTGGCCTCTCGCGCTTTCACCGCTCTCCTGGCTCGTAGCTGTGGGCTCCATCCTAAATCGGGTCAGACGCAAACATGTAATTAATTACTCCCGCCAACTTAGTTCAAAGTGAGACTCCACCTCCTTTACGCACCCCCTGTAGTGACGTCACTGCGACACCGCGTTCGCTACGTCCTCCAAGTGTAGCCCCGCCCCCTGCCCAGACCTCTTTGCAGACGCGGAAGGAACCAATGGGCGTAAGGTCGAGGCTGTTAAACACGTCTTGAACGTACTGCATGCCCTTTAAGGGCGGTGATCGCGGTCCACATACATCTTTTGTAATGAAGGGGAGGGACAAACGGTTCTTTAACAGATTTGAAAGTGATTGTTGTTATGTATCGTCAAGTCTGAGTCACGGGTTTTTGAAGATGTTTTTCCTCCAAATGAGGCTGGTCGGACCTTACCCACATCCAGTCAAGGTTATGGAGGAGGTTTGGAAGCTACTGAAGTCTTGGAATGTGGACAAACTGTATGAGTAGGAAGTGGGTGCTGATCCTGTATTCCGACGTTTTAACAGGATTAATTTACTATGAGTCCTGGTGTGGCGCTGTAGAATAAACCCTAAATTGGCAACAGTTCAAATCCACCAGCCACTCTTAGAAAACCCCATATAGGGTCGCTGAGTCAGAACCGACTCGACGGCACTTAATAACAATCATTTACTAATTCGGAATGGCTCTATGACAGTGGGTTTGGATTTTAACTTGCCTGACTGAAATGACTAAAACCAGCGGGAAGAATTTATTTTCAATTTATCATGGAGAGAATAAGGACTACATTGTAGCAAAAGATCTTATCGCTCAAGGCCCAGTCAGAATAGGAAAATAAATCGGAAGACTTGGTAAGGACGCTGTAGAAAACTTGGAAAAGGCGAATCATGCTATTCTCTTTTTTGTTGTTAAATGCCAGTGAGTCGGTACTGACTCTAGCGACCCTGTATAGGGTTTCCGAGGAGTGGTTGGTGAGTTTGAACCACCGACCTTGCGTTTCAAGCCGACCTTGAGGTCGAGGGCTTATTCTGTAGAGCTTCAGAAAACAACAAAATCCATACAAACGTTTTGCACGGATTGCTGCTTGGGGGCCCGCATCACATGCACAAGTATTACTCAATGTAAATATCAGCTACTTTGATCTCCAGTTTTCCAGGAGAGTCATTGGCCAGCAGAAACGCCAGACTCACGAAGGAGGAGCGCTGACGCACAAACAAGGCGGTGATGTTTATCTGCCCCGGAAGTATATGCGATAGATCCTTGCCTTCCGGGACAGGTTTGTCTGTCGTTGCAGCAGCTGTAGTGAGGGGAGGCCATTTTTGGTTCTGGGGAAAGTGGCATAAAAGGAGAGAGTAAAAGAAGGGAGGAAAAAGGGCTCAGCGCCTCCCCGCCGGGCCGTAGACAGAGGGGCCTTTTCGGCAGGCGGGAGAGGTCGCTGAAGGCCCGAAGGAGATGTTTTCCCTGTCGAGCACGGTGCAGCCCCAGGTGAGTCCGTCATCCGGTCCATATTTCTCGGTCCCTGTTCACGGCTCTGTGCCAGTTGTGTTTCGTGTAAGCGATTTCTCAGAAGGGGCTGTAAGAGAGGAACGATCCACTGAACACGAGTACCTGGGTTGGGAAGTGGATCAGGTCCAATGTTGAGAGTCGGATCTTAATAAAGAGCTGAAGATGAGGCTTCTGGGGGGAGAGGCGCGACGTGAGTGATGGAGACCTTTCCATATCGAGCTAATAGCATCGGATGTCTGCGTGCGAATGTCAGGCATTGTTCATGGTCGGGCATTCTTGGCGTGAGGGGTGGGGAAAATGTCTTTGCCATAGTTGTAAAGGAAGCAGATAATGTTTCCTTTCCATCCTTCCTCCCTTCCGGAACTGAGGCTTTAGTATTTTACACCCCGAATCTTCTACTCTTCTTTCCATTTAAATGGAATGACTCAATGAAGTTATAATAGCTGGAAGTATATATATGATTTGAATCACTATAGTATTTGTAGCTATCATGAAGTTATATATGTTTTTCCTTTTAACTAGAAATGACATTTTCAAGCCCTTGACTGTTAGCAGTTAACATTTTGGATTCAACCTCCTTCCCATTTTTTTTTTTTTTTTTGTAAAAGATATGGCAGAGAAAAATGAAAAGGAGTGTTTGATTATTCTCTTTTTTAGCTCATCACTTGTGACATTGTTTGGTTCTTAGTTCATTTAAAACGTTACACCAGTTTAGTTTTTGAGAGTGCAGCAGTTTTGCAAGTTAATGGTTTTTTGAGAACATTTTGATTTTTAAAACAAAAACAAAAACTGACACTCTTACTTTCTTGGTTTAACTATTTGTGTCCCATCCCCTTTTTCAATATTGGACATCAGTTATGTGGATAACAGGAATAAAGGATTTTGTCTTAATGGAGATAGGAAGTAAAATACTAAAAAATGAAAGGCAATTAACAGGCATTCCATGCAGAAGGAAGAATATTTGTGGAGGCCGTGGAACAGAGTTCAGCAGTTTAAGGAACACAACTTACTACCAATATGGCTATATACAACATGATGATTAAAGGGAGCAGTGACAGATAAGGTTGGAGAAAAAAGCTCTGAAAATTATTGAAATTTGTTGCAGATTATGTTAAGGAAGTTTGGCTTTCACTTCAAATTACTCTGGAGTCTTTGAAAGCTGTAAACAGAGCAGACTTACACATTTAATAGGTCATTCTGCCTGCTTGTTGTATGGAGGATGTTGATGGAATGGGAAAGGCAAGACTGGAAGAAGCTTTGCCAGTTACTGATTTGATGTCAGCTAAGGAGTTCTGGTGTGGTGCTGTGGCTTTGTGCCAGACTACAAAGCCGTTTGAACTGCAAGGTCGGTGATTGAAGCTCACCAGCTGCTCCTCGGAAACCCTATACAGGGTCGCTATGGGTCAGAATCTACTTGACAGCACTTAACAACAACAACAAGGAGCTCTGGTAGCTAGTGGTTATGAATCGGGCTGCGAACCGCAAGGTCTGCAGTTCGAAAGATGATGCTTTTTGCTCCCATAAAGATTTACAGCCTTGGAAACCCTGTTCAGGGTCGACTATGAGACGGAACTGAATCCACAGCACGTAACAGTATCAGCCAGGTGAACAGAACCAAGGGACACTGAATGGTTTAAAATCAGGAGAGGTATCCGCCAGGGTTGAATTATTTCACCATACTTATTCAGTCTGTACGCTCAGCACATAATCCAAGAAGCTGGATTATATGAAGAACTTGACATCAGGATTGGAGGAAGACTCATAAACAACCTGTGATAATGCAGATGATAGAACCTTGCTTGTTAAAAGCCAAGAGGACTTAAATATGCTTAATGATGAAGATCAAAGACCACAGCCTATGGCATGGGTTATACTTCAATGTAAAAGAAACAAAAATGCTCACCACTGGGCCAATAAATAATGCCATGATAAATGGAGAAAACACTGAAGTGGTCAAAGACTTCATTTGGCTTTGATCCACTCAACACTCAGAGAAATAGCAGTCACGAAGTCAACATACTGAACTGGAAAAATCTTTTTTGCACAAGACCGCTTTCAAGTATTCAGGAGCAAAGATATCAGTTTGAGGACTAAGGTGTGCCTTACCCAAGCCATGGTATTTTCAGTGCCTCATATGCATGTGAAGCCCTGGTGTGGTGCTCTGGGTCAATGCACTGGACTGCAAAGTCATTTGAACCACAAGGTCGGTGGTTCAAGCTCACCAGCCGCTCCTCAGAAACCCTATACAGGGTCACTATGGGTCGGAATCGACTTGGAGGGACTTAACAACAACATATGCATGTAACAGACAGTGAATAAGGAAGCTTATAGAAGAATCAGTGCATTTGAACTATGGTGTTGACAAAGAATATTAAAAGTACCATGGACTGGCAGAAGAACAAACAAATCTGTGTTGGAATAAGGACAACCAGAATGCTCTTTAGAAACTAGGATGGCAAGACTTCATCTCTCACACTTTGGACATATTATGAAGAGAGACCAGTCCCTGGAGAAGGATATCATAGTTGGTAAAGTGGAAAGTCAGCTTAATAAAGTAGGTCAGTGAAATAGAGGAAAACCCCAATGAGGTGACTTGGCACAGTGGTAGCAGTAATGGGCTCAAGCTTAGCAGTGATTTTGAGCTTGACACGGGACCAGGCAGTGTTTTCTTCTGTTCTGCATAAAGCCATTGTGAGTCAGAACCACCTCTGCAGCACCTAACAACAACAAATACAGTGGCAGCAACATTGGGCTCAAATGTAGCAATTGTAAGGTTGGCACAGGACTGGGCAGTATTTCATTCTGCTGTGCATAGGGTCACTATGAGTCTGAATCAGCTCTGATGGTACCTAACAACAACAGCCAGGAGCCTAGGTGGCACTGTAGGATAAGCACTGGACTGCTTATCCTACAAGGTCTGCAGATCACACTCACTTCTCCTTAGGAGAAAGATGAGACTCTGCTCCTATAAAGATTTGTTGTTAAGTGCCATTGAGTCGGTTCTTGACCCATAGTGACCCTGTATAGGTTTCTGAGGAGCAGCTGGTAAGCTTGAACCGCCAACTGGCTCTGCAGTCTGGTGCACTAACCCACAGCCCCACATCAGGATTACAGCCTTGTAAACCATAAACAGGGTTGTTATCAATTGGAATTGATCTGATGACAGTGGATTAATAACAACAGCTAATCCAGGAAAGGGTGTTGTTACGGAAAAACAAGAATGAGCATTATTTTAAAGAAAGAATAGAAATATTTGAGGGATTAGATGTGAGGGATGAAGGGGGATGGTTGTTACTGATTTCATCAGCTAGATGCATGACAGTGTTTAGAGGGACAAGTTGTCACTGGGACAAGTTTTTCAAGAAGTCTGAGTCAGTTTGCTGATCATAGGATTAAACGTCTTAAAACTACTTAGTTCCCTATCAAAAAGACCTGATTCTAGAACTTACATCAATTGGGTGGAGAGTTGGTAGTAATGCAATGTTAGTAGAGAGGAGGCTTTGTGTAGTAGTAGCAGTCTAACTGGGTTTAAATGTTTTATTTTATACTGTGAAAGATGGTGTATTTTCCTAGGGTTGCTGTAATGAAGTACCATAAATTGGGGCACAAAATAATAAATGTATTTCCTTACAGTTCTGGGGGCTAGATGTCTGAAATCAAGGTGTCAGCAGTACTATGTTGTGTTGTTAGGTGCCATCGAGTTGGTGCCGACTCACAGCGACCTTATGCACAGCAGAAAGAACACTGCCCGATCTTGGGCCAACCTCACTAGTGTTGCCTCACTTGAGCCCATTGATATAGGGGACGCTTATCCTTGGCTCTTATAGTTTCTGGCTCTTCAGGGCATCCAGGGCATCCCTTGATTTGTACATGTATCACTCGAATCTCTACCCCTGTCTTGTGCACATGTCTTCCTTCCCTTTTTATCTCTGGCTCTCTGTTGTCTGTTTTTATAAGGACAGTGTAGGAACCCTGATGGTGCTGTAGGATAAGCCCTGGACTGCTAACCTGTTAATTGCAAGGTCTGCAGTTCAAGTTCACCAGCTGCTCCTCGGAAACCCTATACAGGGTTGCTGTGGGTCAGAATTGACTCGACAGCACTTAACAACAATATCCAGTTCTTATCCTACATCTCCATACCAGGACTCCATACACATTTGGAATTCTTGTTTTATTTGGTTGAAAACTCTAAATTGTAAAATTAGGAAAGGAACTAATAGCTGAACTTTTTCACTGAGTTGTTGTTGTTGTTGTTAAGTGCCGTCGAGTCGGTTCCGACCCATAGCGACCCTGATCAGCAATTTACATCCTTTTTTGAATGAGAAGGGATGTGACTAAAATAAATGAAATGTTTTCTTAAAAATAGGCAGAAAAAAAATATTTTTAAATAATTTGATTCATAAAGTTTTAAAAGAGCTTATTTTTAAGGTTTTTCTTAAAAATGCTGAAAATAAAGAAAAATATAAACAAGAAAATAAAGATCACCTTTAGTCTCATTTAGGAGCTTTGGTGTACTGTAGGATAAGCATTGGACTGCTAATCGCAAGATTGGCAGTTCAAACTCACTACCCACTCCTTGGGAGAAAGATGAAGCTTTTTGCTCCTGTGAAGATTTACAGCATCTGAAAACCCTGAAAAACAGGGTTGCTCTGAGCTGGAATCAACTTGGTGGGAATAGGTTTTTTAAAATAATCTCTTTATACAAGGGTAATGGTATTTATAATAAAGTCACGCTACTTTCCCTATGCAACTGTATACAGACATTTTAGAAGTACTGTCTATCTGCTTTTCCTTTTATTGCATATTCTGAATGTATTTCTGTATCAGTAGTTATGGGATAAAAAAGCTTAACAATATGGAATCTGAAGTAATTCTCTGGATGACAGTCCTATGCTTACTAGTGATGTGACTTTCAGCATGCAATGGAACTAAATCTTCACTGTCTTCATCTATGAATAGAAAGTATAATAATAACTTAAATTGTTTTGGGGAGGATTAAATGAAGTGATATACGTAGAGCACAGAAATGGCATATGGTAAGAACTCATTTAATTTATTGATTTACTTGGCTATGTTTATTTAGCACATGGTATATACCAGATCCTGGTGTGGCACTGTAGGATAAGTGGTTCAAAACCACCAACTGTTCCTTGGAAATTCTCTACAGGGTCGCTATGGGTCAGAACACTTAACAGCAACAACAACATAAGTCAGGTATTACTAGACTGACATACAGTATTGAATAAAACAGAGAAGAAAATAATTTGCTTTTGGAGCTTAGATTCTAGTGAGAGGAGCAAGGTGTATCTGTCCAGTAAGCACTAGACTGTGAACTCACAGTGTTGGCAGTTCAAGCCCTGTGGGAGAAAGATGAGGTTTTCTGCTCCTGCCAAGATTTACAGCCTTGGAAATCCTGTACAGGGTCGCTATGAGTCAGAACTGACTCTATAGCACTTAACAACAACAACAACAGCAACATTCTAGTTGAAAAAGCAGATAACAAGCTAATACAGTTAAGTAAATATATAAAGGTATGTTACAGAGTGAAACATTACAAGAAGAAAAATAGATCAGAGAAGGGAATAAGAAAGGTTCTTTAGGATAGAATTGTTGAAATTTTAGATAGGGTAACTCTGGAAAGACCCCATGAGAAAATGCTTTGAGCAAATTGAAGGAAGTGCAAACTATGTTGCTAACTGGATGTGTGTGTAAAGCAAATGCAGTAGGCCTTCAGGTGAGTCTATTGATGTGTTTTGGGAATAGGAAAGAAGTCTAGTGGAACTAGTGCAGACAGCATGAAGGGGAGTGGAGTAGGAAGTAAATTTGGAAAGGTAGTAAACACCCAGTCTTGATTTTTTTTTTTTAAGTTTCTGTTGTGAATTGAAGGTGCTCTGGTCGTGTAGTGGTTACGATCAGGATCAGCAGTTCAAAACTACCAGCAGTTCCGCGGGAGAAACATAAGGCTTTCTGCTCCCGTAAAGATTTACAGCCTTGGAAACCCAATGCAGGGCCACTATGAGTCGGAACTGAATCCATGGCACACCACCACCACCATTGTGAATTGAGTGATAGTTTACAAGGGAGAACATCAGCTTTACGCTTGTCCTATCATATCTCGTGTCATTGCAATGATTACAATCCCCTCCATGCATCATCATTCAACAGTATTTGCTTCTATTCTCTCTGGGACTTTTTTATGTATACCAAAACGCTCAGGAATACACAGTCATTCAAAGTTCAAACACCCAAAGGGCATACCCTGCAAGCCTGCCCCCCAGCCACCAGCACACAGCCCCTTTCCCTCAATGAGTCTAGAATTTCCAGCCACTCCATCTCTTCGCGTCATCATCTCTGTCTCCATCTTTAGTGTCGCTGCTTCTCTGAATAGGGTCCCACACGCCGTTCCCGCTCTTCTCACTTGATGGTTGCAGGGTCCTCTGCTCCTGGACTGTAAGATCGGCCACTCCCTCTTTTTGTTACAGTTGTTAAGACTTTGGTTTTTACCTAGGTGAAAAAGGAAGACATTGGAGGGTTTGGATCAGAGGATTGACAGGGTCTGACTTTGGTAATAACACAATCACTTTTATGCTGTGCTGAGAATATTCTATAACAAGACAAAGGCAGGTAAAGGGATAGTAGTTAGACTTTCAAAAATGCAAGTTAATATACATGGATGGTGTTTAGAACTAGATGATGGCAATGGAAAAAATTGGTAAGTAGTAAAAATCTGGATGTTTGTTTACTGTTAAGAAACCCTGGTAGCACTGTGGGTTACATATTGGGTTGCTAACCTCAAGGTCAGTGGTTCAAATCCACCAGCTGCTCTGCAGGAAAGAGGTGAGGCTTTCTGCTCCTGTAATGATTTACAGACTCGGAAACCCTGTCACTATGAGTTGGAATCAACACAGTGGCAGTGACTTTGATATGTGTATTTTGGGGTCATTATATAGCCACTCCTTTACTGGTGAATATTTCCAGCTTTAGCCTATTATAAAAATGCTTTTTGATGGAAAGAAATTGTCTGTTTATGTATAAGCATTTTTAGATTATTTTCTTAGAATGTTGTTTAATGCTGTCAAGTTGGTTCCAACTCATAGTAACCCTGTATATAGTTTCAGAGGAGTGTCTGGTGGATTTGAACACTGACCTTGCAGTTAGCATGTGTTTATCTTATAGTCCACACCAGGAACAGATGACTAGAAATCAGATTGCTGGGAGAATGAAATGCATATCATTTTAATGCTTTTGATTCCTTTAGCAATAATATTATCCAGAGGCTACCGAGGTCTATTTATATTTTTTCTACCAGTAGTAAATCACAGAACTTAATTTCAGTTTTGATAAATAGTATACTTAACTGTTTAATCTCAAATCCTAACAAGAAATAAGTGTTCACTTTTTATTTTAAAAGCACAGTATTTAATTTCAACGTTTTTCTTTTTGTAGGTTACGGTTCCTCTGAGTCACCTCATCAATGCCTTCCATTCACCAAAAACCACGTCTGTTTCAGTCAGTGCATCAATTCCTCAAAAACAGCATCGGGATGCAGTTACTGAGCATGAGGCTCCCAGCAGTGAGGTATAATTTTTACCATGCTTGTATAAGAAGGCTTTCTTGATTGCAGAATCTTTAATCATGTTTGATTATCTTTTTACAGGCATTTTTGTAACAAAATGACTTCTACTTTTTGTATCAATTTCCTTTGTAATTAAAGAGGTAATATTAGCCTCTTTGAAAGTTCTATATGTCATGAGTCAGAACTGACTGGACAGTAGTTAACAACAACAACATATGGTATTGCATTTGGCAATTACTGCCTAGATTACTGCTTGTGTAATACCAGCAAGCTATTCTTTTGTTGTATTTCTCCCACAGTAGCAGTGAACGCAGAATTTAGAATTATAGCTATCATTTACTGCCTCAGTGGAACGGGACCTATATTTTCAGTATTCACAAAATCATTGTTGCTTAGTAGGTCATTATAATCTCATGGTCCAAGGATAATCATATTTAGAATAAATTCTTCCACTTTTTTCTCTATGCAGACATGTATACATACTTAAATTATATATACTTTTACTCTGATTTTTGTTTTACACTATATTTTGAATTTATTTCTGTATCAGTGACTGAGATGAAAAGGTTAATAGTATAAATCTAGAATCAGATTCTCTGGGTGAGAATCTTTCTATACTTACTAATGATGTGACTTTCGGCCTGCCACACCATCAATTGCTCATATGAAAGTTAAGTTGAAGATGAAGAAAATAATACAAGTCCAGGAGAGCCAAAGTCAATCTTAAATTTATTCCACCTGAATTTAGAGACCATCTCAGTAATGTATTTGCCACACTAAACACTGATGAAGGAGCTTTGGTAGTGTGATGGTTACAAATCGGGTTGCTAACCTCCAGGTCAGCAGTTCAAAAAAACTGCCGTCTGTTCCATGGGAGAAAGACGAGGCTTTCTGCTCCCATAAAGACCTACAGCCTTGGAAACCCTATACAGGGTCACTATGGATCGGAACCGACTCTGTAGCACATAACCACCACCACCGAACAGTAATGACTGAAGATTACATGAGTTGTGGGATGATTTCAAAAACATATGTGAAGAGAACAGTGTTGTCATTGCTAGCTGCCATCTAGTTGGTTCCAACTCATAGCAACCCTCTATAGGTTTTCTGAGGCTGTAAGTCTTTACGGGAGCAGAAAGCTCATCTTTCTCCCATGAAATGGCTAATGGGTTTGAACTTCCAATTTTGTGATTAGCAGTCCAGGGCTTATCTTACAGCAGCATCATTACTTCTGCAATAGATCATTTAAAAAATAGGAAGGAAAGAGAACACCAAATGGATTTCAGAAGAGACTGACATCCATTTGGTGTTTTCTGTAAAATAGTTAAAGTGAATAGAAGACATGAAGTAAAAGAACTAAACAGAAGATTTCAAGGGTGGCTTGAGAAGATAAAGTAAGGTATTACAATGAAATGTGCAAAAACCTGGAGTTAGAAAATCAAAGGAAAGAACACACTTGGCATTTCTCAAGCTGAAAAAACTGAAGAAAAGTAATCAAGCTTCAAGTTAAAATATTGAAAGATCCTATAGACAAGTGGAGTCCTGGTGTGGTGCTGTGGGTTAATGCACTGGGCTGCAAGGTCAGCAGTTCAAACTCACCAGCCACTCTTTGAAAACCATATACAGAGTCACTATGAGTCGAAACCAACAGTAGACAAAATACTGAATGACTAAGGAAGTGGAAGAAATATAAAGAGTCACTGTACTGTAAGGATTTGGTCAATGTTCAGTCATTTGGGGAAGTAGCATGTGATTTAAAAATGATGATATTGTAGAAAGAAATCCAAGTTATATTGAAGGCATTGGCAAAAAAAACAAAGATTCAGTAATTGACCGAGTACTAACTGAGATGTTTCAACAAATGGATGCAGCGCTGAAGACATTTCACCTGTCTATGTCAATAAATTTGTAAGACAGCTGTCTGGCTACCCAGTAGGAAGAGAGATCTGTGTTCTTGTCCATTCCAAAGGTGATCCTACAGAATGTGAGATTATTGATTGGTATCAGTATCACATGCAAGTAAAATGTTGTTGAAGATAATTAAAAATCGGTTGCAGCAGTAAATTAACAGAGAACTGCCAGTACAAGCAGGTTCAGAAAACAGTGTAAAATTAGATATATTATTGCTGACATCCAATGGATGTCTGTTGAAAGCAGAGAATACCAGAACAATGTTTAACTGTGTTTAATTGACTGTGACACAGAGGCCTTCATCTGTGTAGATCATAGCAAACTATGGGAAAATAACGGAAGTTCCTTGTGCTCATGTGGAACCTGTAGATAGACCAAGAAGTAGTTATTCAGACAGAAAAAGGGGATACTACATAGTTTAAAATCAGGAGAGATGTGCATCTTGGTCGTATCCTTTATCATACTTAATCTATATGCTGAACAAATAATCGGGGGGAAAATGACTATGTGAAGAAGAACTTCACATCAGGAATGGAAAAAGGCTTGTTAACAGTCTGCAATATGCAGATGACACAGCCTTGCCTGATGAAAGCAAAGAGGACTTAAAGCAATCATTCCTGAAAATCAGTAACTACAGCCTTCATTCGGTGTGGATTACACATCAACATAAAACAAAATTCCTTACAACTGGATCCTCACAATAATTTAGCATCTTGACAAAGAAAATATTGACATTGTCAAGGATTTAGTTTTATTGAATCCACAATAGTTCTCATGGAAGCAGCCGTAAAGAAACAAAACACTATTGCATTGGGCAAATCTACCACCACCACCACTGCAAAAGACCACTTTAAAGTGTTCAAAAGCACAGATGACACTTTGAGGACTAAGGTTTGCCTGACCTACCTATGGTATTTCCAAATGCCTCATATGTATATGAAAGTTAGACAATGAATAAGAAAGACCAAAGTAAAACTGATGCCTTTAAATTTTGTTGATGGCAAAGAATATCGACTACCCATGGACTGCCAGAAAAATGAACAGAAGTACAATCAGAATGTTTCTTAGAAGGATGGCAAAACTTGGTTTACATATTTTGGACATGTCATCAGGAGGGACCAGTCCCTAGAGAAGGACATTGTGGTTGGTAAATAGAAGGGTAAGAGAAAAAGAGGAAGTGTCTCAACGAAATGAATTGACACAATGGATGCAACTATTGTAAGGATGGCACAGGACCAGAAAGTATTTTGTTCTGTTGTTATGCATAGGGTTACTGTGATTTGGAACCAACTTATTGGCACCTAATAACAATAGGTCAACGGACAATGGAAGAGGAGTTGAAAAGGAGTTTCTTTTGGGTGGGGGTGGGGTGGGGTGAATTGTGGGACCAGTCTTACTCTGAAATCTTAGTTAGGATGAAAAGTTTGTTACCATTACACCTTCCTTTTATACCATTTGCCTTGCTGATGTTGCCTTTTTGTAGGCAGTATATACTGTGTTTGTACGTTTCTGACATCCTTTTTCCAAATAATACCCCGAGAGCCTTCTGAACTGTGAACATTACTTGTATTAGAATTGCTGCCGTAGGGAAGTTATGCTCATTTTAGAAACTTTGGAAAATATTAATGTAGATGGAAAGAATAAAAATGTCTATGATCCCAATCCCCAGATAAAATGCCATTAACATTTTCATATCATATTTCTTCTCTTTTTGTCTAATACTTTCTTGCAGTTTCTTGTTTTTGTAGACGTTCTAATTTTTTTAAGCATCCTACCTCATCTGTATTCTCTTTGCTGTCATCAAATCATGCTCATCCAAACATTTACCTCCCCCAAAACAAGCAAGAAACATTACAACTTCCTTAAAGCTGCTAACTTCTTTACTCTTTGCTTCCAGGCTTTATACCACAGTCTGAAGTTTTATCCATGCAACATCCGTCCTAAATTTGTTAAAGTCAGTGGTGGTGTCCTTAGTACCAAACATAGATCTTGTTTTAAACCCACACCTTTTAAAACTTCCTTAGCATTTACCTTGTTGAACTTCTACTAATTCCAAATGTAAATATTTAGTTTACTGTTTTTAAGTTTTTATTATGAATTGAGTGTTTACATGGGAGAACATCAGCTTTACACTCATCCTGTTGTATTTCATTTCATTACAATGACTACAATCCCCTCCATGCATCATCATTCAGCAGCATTTGCTTCCATTCCCTCTGGTTTTATTTGGATGTACCGAAGCACTTAGGCGTATATAAGCATTCAAACAACCAAAGGACATACCCTGCAAGCCTGTCCCCCAACCGTCAGCACCCATCCCCTCTCCCTCCTTGAGTCCAGAGTTCCCAGTCACTCCATCTCTCCACGTCAACCTGTCTGCCTCCATCTCTGGCTTCTCTGGATAGGATCCCGCACTCCGCTCTTCTCCCTTGATGGTCTCAGGGTTCTCTGCTCTTGGACTGCAAGATCAACCACTCCCCTCCTTTTGTTACAAAACATCTACCTTTA